AAGAATTGAATAACCATGAAAAGATGTTCACCATCATATCATTAAAGGATTGTTGATTAAAACAACAGGAGATTACTATACACCTATTTAGGATACCAAACTGAAATATTGACAAGACAAAATGCTGGTGTGGGTATGGAACGACAGAGACTCTTATTAGGAACTATTGTTATTAGAAACTCTTGGTTTGAGAATTCTCTACCAAGGCGAAATAGTATCGTCACTTTGTAAGACAGTTTGGAAGGTTTTTTTTACAAAACTAAGCATACTCTTACCGTATAATCCAGCAATCATGCTTCTTTGTATTTACCAAAAGCAATTGAAAACTTATGTCACAAAAACTGGTACTCATATGTTTACAGCAAGTTTACCCAGAAATGCAAAATGTGGAAGCAATCAAAATGTCTTTGGTAGGTGAATGTATAAATAAACTATGGTACATCCACACAATAAAATAGTGTTCAGTGCTAAGAAGAAATGAGCCATTAAGTCATAAAAAGACATGGAAGGGCCAGGCACCATGGCTCACACCTGTATATTTTGTTAAACAAAATTTACAAAGAACCCTTAAGACTCAACAATTAAAAAGGCAAGCAACCCAATTTTAAAAACACTAGTCAGCAAATCTCAAAAGACACCTCACCAAGGAAGATATATAGAGATAAGAAATAAGGATATAAAATGATGTCATTGGGAATTACAAATTAAGACAATGAGTTATCACATATACCTACTTGACTAGCTAAAATCCAAAACACTGACAAGACCAAATGTTAAGGATATGTTTAATTTCACTACCCATATTTAATAGTCCTAAAAATGTGTTTAAGTCATCCGAAAGGAGGTGTTGCCTTGGTCACCTGGTTTGGGGGTAAGATCACTCCCCAGCCAAAGAGGAACTGAACAGAACCATTTGAGAATTTCTCTATGAACAGAGCAAATATGGGCATACCAACATTTTTAAACTAGCAGTTAACACCTTGTATGCAGACATCTTCTGTTCTGCTGGAGAAGAATGTGTTTTAGAAATGAAGGAATAATGTAATTTGGAATAAGTACATTGAAGCCTTAGGTACCTCTATGAAGTCTCTTAAAAAGTATTGGTCACAATACAACAGCATCCATTTTGAGGAATAATTTAAAAGTTTAGAGGGGAAATTTCAAAATAATTTTCTCAAACTTAAGACATAAGCTTTTGTTGTTGTTGTTGTTGTTGTTGTTGTTGTTGTTGTTGTTGTGGCCAGGCACCACAGCTCATGCCTTGTTTTTTGTTTTTTGCATTATTGATATGTTTGAATTATCAACTTATGCATGTGCTCCTTTATAGTTTAATGCAGACAGATCATCCAGTTGGTTATATTATGTACTTTTTGGTTTTCTTCTTTTCATGTCATTGTATTATGAAAAGAAAACTAATGAAAGTCTGCTTTAAAAATTGGGATTTCTGATATCCATACAAATGTATTTCCTGTGCCATCTGAATGGTCACTAACATAAGAGTAAAATTAAAAAGTGTGGGTTAATACGCAATGATAAAAAGAACCAGATAGAAAATACCAGCTGGTGAAAGATTTTGTTGCATTTTTGGAAACATGGAAATGGGCATTATTAGATAACTGACTTAGCAGGGCAGGGGAAGTTGCAGTCATCTGAGTAAACAGAGAAAACTAGCAAGCTAGTTCACTTGCAAAATTCCCGAGATGGGCTGGGCACAGTGGCTCACACCTGTAATCCCAGGATTTTGGGAGGCCGAGGTGGGTGGATCACCTGAGGTCTGGAGTTTGAGATCAGCTTGATCAACATGGCAAAACCCCGTCTCTACTAAAAATACAAAAAATTAGCCAGGCATGATGGCTCATGCCTGTAGTCCCAGCTACTTGAAAGTAGCTCAACCTCCACCTGGGAGGTGGTGGTTGCAGTGGGCTGACATCATGCCACTGTCCTACAGTCTGGGCAACAGAGTAAGACTCCATCTAAAAACAAAACAAAACAAAAAAACTCCCAATACACTGAAGACTTGGCTATAGTTGCAATAATTGTCCAGTTACAGTTATCCTTGGTTGTGCAAGTGCTAAGAGAGATTCCACTACATTCTCTGTATTCTAGATAAAGTAATCTCTGTCCTAATCTATACTAACAACTCTAGCTACTCCCAACAAACAGAACCAAGTACTGCCGCCAGAACAGTAACTCTTTTTTATCTGCTGATTTACTCATATAAGGGGCACTATTTTGTGGTTCCTACTGTGTTTCTACTGCTTTCCTGGCAAATATGTTTTCCTCTCCAGAAACCAGGACCAAACTAAAGACTCTAAAAGTGAGTTCCTGGGAGTGTTGACACTTCGCTTTCACCACTTGGGTCTAAGAATGATGTATGTTAGTCTGTTAGGCAAATGGGGACCCCACACCATATATAAGCATCAGTTCAGTGTTCAATGCATATACTGAATCCTGAGGACAGCATCCCAAATCCTCACAGAGATGGCTTCTAGCTAGTTTCTTAATCAAACTCTTAACAGGCTTTTTCTGTCTTCTATCAGGGTGGCTGCTTATGCCTGACAGGTTACATGGTAAAATCAGTGAATTCTGAGATCATGAGAACACTTTCTTATCTCCTTTGTCCACAAATTGGTAACATGTTCTCAGCAATGATTAAAGGATATTATGTCAATATATCCATCAGGCTGCAAGCCACCAATTGCTGGTGTAGGTGAAGGTATTTTTGGAGATGGGAGGCAAACCTGTATCTAAACTATTTATCATTTCTGATGACAAATTACTGTCACCTTCAGGGTGAAAAAGGTCTGATATCATCAACTTGCTGCCAGGTGATGACCATTTTCCCAGCAGACAGCATCATATTGAGTGTTCAGCATGGTATCTGCTACTGGCAGGTTGCACACTCAGAGGTGGCAGAAGGCAGATCAGCATCTATGACAGGGAGTCCATAACACTGTGACTAGGAATAACCTGCATGCTTGTCACTACAGACACTCTGCTCATGTGCTATCATTTGGATAGCCTTAGGCTGGATAGATAGAACACAGTTCACTCTGATCACCTGGCTAGTTAAAGCCTTTTCTCTTCTACAACTTTCTAGTTAGTTCCCACTCCAATAGGTCTGTTCACACAAATGTTTCATAGACTACCTTGCCCAGTGTTTTCATCTTCCAGTTGGATTAAAAAAAAAAACCCAGGTTATTTGCTGCTACCCTTGAGTCAATGTATATTGTTAATTTAGGATATTTCTCCCTATATACAAAGCAGAAAAAGAGTTTGTCAGGTCTTTGTCCACTAGCATAATTTCCCTATGCTTCTTACCTGTGAGACTTCCTTGGAATTGCTCTGGGAAGGGCAGCTGTTCTATACAGTTGATGTCAATGAATTGAGGTGACTTGTCTGAAAACCAGACCAAAATCAGTTCCTTCTCTGTCAGTTGATTATACAGTACTCCCAATGAGCCCATACATGTGAGTTGAGACAGGGGCATTGATTTAGCATGTTACAGTGTAATAGGATCAGAATCATCCATTTGTTCATGAAGTATTCTTGCCTTATGACACACTCAGTCCCGGGTCTTACCACTTTTGGCTGGTGTACCCTCAAGAACTTAATTAAGTCTTGTTGAATTCAACAATATCAATTCCATAATGGGTTTCAGTTGAGGTTGAAAAGTTTTTTTTAATATTCTTGGTCAGTCACTCAGTATCTCTTATACTTGTTATGTACAAGTGAGCTTGTTTTATCCTCTCTATATGAAGGGAGAGAAGTATGCATTTACCTAGTGACATTTCTATAATCAAATTGAATATAAAGTACTCAGGAAAAGGAGCACTGATAGAGACATCATTATTTTCCATCATAAAACATGTGCTTTTAGCATGAAACAAACAAGTTAATAAAAGAGACAAAAGGTGATAGCAATTTCCACTGCAGAAATATACCTCTCATCCAAACATCTCTACCTTGTCTAAGTTCCTCTCTTCTCCATTGTATAAAAATCTCACTACAATAATTTATATCTTGATAAACTATTTTTCTAATTCCAAAAATATGCCTCTAGGTTATCAGATACTTTATTGAATCTGTTGATACTTTCAAATTTCCTACAATCAACTGGTTACACCCTTTATTTCCAGCCCACATAGTATCTCTGCCTTAATTTGAACTATTTATCCTATAGTCATAATATCCTTCTAATATAAACAAAATACTGTAGTTACTATGGTTCAAGAGAAACATTAATAGTCCCCCAAATTAGAAGGGATCAAATTAGGACCAAAAAGTGATTTTATAAAAATAATAATTATATGACTACAACCCCAACAGTGACAGTCTTCTTAAGATCAAGAACTCTTTCAGTGAGAGTCTTCTTAAGATCAAGGGTAAATTTACTTTCTGTGTTCTGTCATGATTCTAGAAGTATCTAGGTAAATTTATGGAAAGATTTTAGCATATAGCTCAAAGAATTGAAAGGGAGATTATCTAGGCCATGAATACCATTCCTTACAACATAAAGCTTCTACAACTATTGAAATATGGTACTTTCTGTTCAGTCAGGAAGAACAACTAAGTTGATCATGAGATATAAAGAATCTAACATGTCTAATAAAGAAAACCATTAAGAAGAGGAAAAACCTGTTGAACAGTTGGTATATAGATAGGTAACTATTAGCAGGGAATTCCAGAAGTAAACATGGAGAAGAACAGGCAAACTGCAGATCTAAACCACAAGTGACACCAAGCAGCCAGGAGTACCAGAGACACAGCAGTGAAGGCAATGAGCTTTACATATCTGTTCGTATGGCAAGCTGCCTTTTTGGCCACATAAAACTAATTCAACATTAACCAGTGTTATTCATCCGCCCTGTCTGTTCTCCCAAAGGAACTAACCCTCATGCACCAAGACAAGATTACATTAAATCAACAATAAGATGATATGCTCTATTGATTTCTTCTAGGGCACTCTCCAAACTTGAAGAAGGATTTGAAATCTTCATTTATCTTTTGTCATCTGAAATCAATTTCTTGCTCCATAGCTTCCTCATGGCACTTTTCACTTCTGTGTTCTTCAGGGTATAAATCAGAGGGTTGAGCAAAGGTGTTCCAAGTGTATAAAACACAGCTATCATCTTATCCATGGGGAAGGTAGTGGCAGGCCGTGTGTATATAAATATGCAAGGTCCAAAGAACAAGATGATCACAATGATGTGGGAAACACAGGTGGAAAGGGCTTTCTTTCTCCCTTCAGCACTGTGGTTTCTCAGAGAATGCAGGATGACGCCATAGGAGAACATTAGCATGACAAAACTCACTGTACAAATGGCCCCACTGTTGGAAACCAGGAGTAGGTTGACCACATAGGTGTCTGAACAGGCAAGTTTCAACAAGGGCTGCAAGTCACAGAAATAGTGATCGATCACATTGGGGCCACAGAAAGGCAAACTCAGGGCAAGAAAAATCTGAGCTAAAGAATGCAGGCAGGATCCCACCCAGGCCGCAGCCACCAACACACCACAGACCTGGTGGTTCATGATGGCCACGTAGTGCAGAGGTTTACAGATGGCCACATAGCGGTCAACAGCCATAAGGATAAGGATGAAGATCTCCAGGCAGCCAAAGAAATGAGATGAAAAGACTTGGATCATGCACTCACTAAAGGAGACAGTTGTCTTCTTCAAAAGGGTATCTGCAATCATTCTAGGGGCTATGGAAGTAGAAAGGCAGGTATCAGATAAAGATAAGTAGAAAAGAAAGAAGTACATTGGGTTCTTAAGTGCCTGGCTGGTCTTGACGATAATAATAATTAGCAAATTACCCAACAATGTGCCCAAGTAGAGAAGCAAAAAAATAACAAACACGATTTTCTTCCAAAAAGGATGCTGTGTCAATCCCAGCAGAATGAACTCAGTCACATTATTATTCAGTTGCATGGTTCTCATGAGTTAGGGGAAGTATAAATGTGAAATGGTCTACCTGCAAAAAATAAAGGAATTAATTTGTAGTGTGCTATGTGATTTTATGGAATGTTTTATGCAAAATCAAGTGTTTCTTATCAGATACATTCTGTGAGTGGTTTCTTAAAAAGTCACTTCAACACTTTGTTTCATAATTTTAATGGCCACTTCATGGGGTTATTATGAGTCTCAAATGTGCTTATGAACATGATACTTTGCTATAGCATTCTTCAAATGCAAGTCTTGGTTTGCTTTGGCATCAGTTAATATATATTTGACTGCTCTTGAAATTTCATGATACAAAGACCTACACCACCACCACCCTGTAGATAATATTAATACATAGTTTATACATTACATATTCATTGTATAGATTTATATAAATATGCTATTTATGAATACTTCGTATGCTCCACTTCTCTGTAAAATTTCTCCCAGATTACAAAAAGTAAAACACTTATGGCCTCTAAATAATCTGTTGCTACATCGATGTGTCCTTATAATATTTAGTACTGACATACACTGATAAACAGAAATGAATGCTCTTAGAAAATTGGATATCTCTTTAATATCCCTATTTCTAATTTTCTTCCTCTAATTCATTAAAAGCACCCCTAAAACACTCAGAATCCCTGAGGTTATGTTTAAATGAAATGAGGGTTGAGTACAGTATTACTACTCAATTGTTTGTTTTCACGATTCAAGTGTTTAGCTTGAATCGTGAAAACAAGAAAGTATTTTATAACTGTGGTGGTTTGAAGGGTTATTATTGAACCAGATCATGTTTGTAATGCCCAGTAGCGTTTTTATTATCCAGACATTCAAAAACCACACATTTCTGGAACAGAGCAGAGATTTGGAAGAAAGAGGGTGATGTGATTTTAGAGAAGAGAGAGTAGTTATTAACTGCCTTCTTCATTCAATTTATTTTCTGTCCTGGAAAAGTCAATCCTTCTTCAACTTTGAAATGTCGCTTTTGCCAATGAAGATTTGTTTTTTAAAAAATAATATAGAAACAAATATTATTACAAGGCTTCTTATTAAAGAAAAATTTTTTTCTTTATATTTTTGTTGTCAAGGTGACACTAGACAGTACATATATGCATATATAAACCAAAGTGTAATTTATTTAAATATAGTCTGGAAGCCTATTGTGTTTCTCCACATTCCCATGAATACCTTCAAAACACTGTGATGAGAGTTACAAGTTGGCCAAAACAGAATACAATAGACAAAATAGACATAAAATTCCCTTTATATATATTACTTTCTCTCCCCTGATGAATTTTCTTCTCCTCACCAGATTTGAAATATCCCTTATCTTCCTCTAAATTAAAAAAAATACCCCCAGGAAAACATCTGATGAAGTTATTCACTTTGGCATGCTAAGAATAAAACAGTATACACACACACACACACACACACACACACACACACACACACACTCCTGTAACACACCTGTAACATTTATTCTCAAGTACAGTCCAGGGAAGGCAGAATGCAGCTCTAAAAAACACACATATTTATCTATATGGATGCACACATATATGTATATCTTTGGTATCTTTGGACTCTTTGGACTATGTAATCTTTGAAACATATCCTAAACTGTAAGGGAACTAAGTTGGTATTTTAATCATTACAATAAGCTCATTTTTTCCTTTATTCATTTCAAAGGGTAATTCATCATTAAGTATTTATGCTTGAAAATGTGGTAGGCTTTGGAGGCCTGATAATTTAGAAATATTTTTAATCTCTAATACTTTATGATTTTGAGCACTTCTTTAAGGGTATAGCCTTTGGTCTGTATATCAGCAATCCCATTAGACTTCATTTCTAGATAGTCTATATTATTTACCTTACATATTTGAACATAAAGTTTTTTAGATAAATTAAGGATTATAAATATATAATGTAATTAACTTGGTAATAATTATAGGTCTTCATCAAATATTTAGTCAATAGAGTAGTCAATAATCAGAGTATGTCTTTTTCCCGGGAATTCCTTTCCATTTCTACCTACATCAACTATTGTAACATTTCAAAATACAACTGCGAAATAACTTCATCTAAGCAGCCTTCATTGCCTCGTAATAAATCTCTGCAGATTTCTAAAGGCTTCCCTTATTCTTTTCTCATGCTATTATATATAATTGCTTAAACTAAACTATTTATGTATGCCTAGCTTCCATTCTGGAATAAGAATACTGGAAAGGTATGTGTTCTCTGGATGTTATTCTCCACTGTATCAAACCCAATCTCCATTATAATGTAGGTGCTTAGTGTTGCGTTTTGTTTTCTGTGCTATTGCTGTGCTATTTCTAATGGTGCTTAGTGTTTCCTAATTGAACATTCTCTCTTCCTTTAACAATGTATTAATAGTATCTAATTAGTACTATTCTGATGGCAAAACACATCCACATCATGGCTTATTGGAGATTTCTATGTATTATGAATGGGAGACAAATATGTTCCTCATATTAATGACAAATATGTTCCTCAATTAAAAAGCAAAAAAAAAAAAAAAAAGCCGGAGATCAATTTCAGATAACTCCGTGCATTAGCTCCATGACTTGGAGTAGAAGATGTATTCTGCAAGGCACCACACGGCTAAGAAAGACTTGGGGACTCTGACTCCCATAAAAGGGATCATCTCAAGAATTTGTTGGGTATTTTTCTTTATATGAATCCTTGGCTCTTAAGAGATTCAAGGAGAGCCTTAACGTTTTACATAGCCTTCTGATACTGCTGCACACTTTTGTGTATGCCTATGTGTATGACTCTAAATCCATTTTCTTGGCAGAGGAGTGTTAACATCTGTCATCAAATTCTCAAGGGAAAAGACACAAAAGTGGGTTACAATGGTCTGGAGACAAAGCATCACCGGTAATACAGCACATGTTCTTATAACTCCTGCACTCTCCACAACTCTTCAAACAAGATAAGCCAACTTTAGATGCCTGGATACAGTGATCAAAACAATAGCAAACAGACAATGTGGTTATGTTGGAGGTAACAGAGAATAGCTGAAAGAAAAGTGACCTGAAAGTGTTGAAGGACAGATAGGAGTGGAATCCAGGGTTAGGAGGCTCCTCCTATGCTTCTTTGTGGTATTGCAGAGGCCACACGAGAAGCATTGTTTTCCTTAAAAAATGGATGTGGAGAAATAGGAACACTTTCACACTGTTGGTGGGAGTGCAAATTAGTGCAACTGTTGAGGAAGACAGTGTGGCGATTCCTCAAGGACCTAGAAATAGAAATACCATTTAACCTAGCAATCCCGTTACTGGGTATATACCCAAAGACTTTTAAATTTTTCTATTATAAAGACATATGCACACCTATGTTCATTGCAGCACTGTTTACAATAGCAAAGACCTGGAACCAACCAAAATGTCCATGACAATAGACTGAATAAAGAAAATGTGGCACATATATACCATGAAATACTATGTGGCCATAAAAAATGATGAGTTCATGTCCTTCATAGGGACATGGATTAATCTGGAAACCATGATTCTCAGCAAACTGACACAAGAACAGAAAACCAAACACCACATGTTCTCACTCATAGGTGGGTGTTGAACAATTAGAACACATGGACACAGGGAAGGGAGCATCACAACTTCGGTCAGTTGGGGGGTGCTAGGGGAGGGACAGCGAGGCTGGGGAGGATGGGGGGGATAATGTGGGGAGAAATACCAGATATAGAGATATAGTATAGGTGACAAGGGGATGAAGCTAGCAAACCACCTTGCCATGCATTACCTATGCAACAATCCCGCATGATCTGCACATGTACCCCAGAACCTAAAGTACAACTAAAAAATAAAGAAATAAAAATAAAATAAAATAAAATAAAGCAGAAAAAAAAGAAATCTCTTAAACCACCCAACTCTCCCTAAATCAGTTATACTTGACTTCTATATTTAAGAGAATCCCCATCCTCACTAATATCTTTGCATAATTTATCATTCTCTGCAGTAAATAAACCAGGTTGTTCCAAGCTGCTGTATTCCTCCAAATTCTTAAATCCAAGTGTATTATAATCTACTCTCCTTGAGTTTCTTCCCATATATAACTGAGTCTCATGATTTCTGCTACCCAATCAAGGAATGCTCTTTAAAACAATCTGGCCATAGAATCAAATTATAATATTTAGTAGGCATTATCTATGCTTCCTATATCTGGTTGCCCCAAATGACATGAAATTAAAATTTAAATGTCCATCTTTCCAAATCATACTACACAGAGAGCATGAGCATTCTGGTGGGGCAAGGATAGATAAGATGGCATGTGGAAGGAGGTTGGGCAAAGGAGGGAAGTTTTTTTTTTACCCAAAGTATTTTGAGCAATGTCCCTACCACATATATAGCATATTATCTTTCCCTTTGATACATAAAATTTAGCCTCCATGTTTTCATGCTTACTCTGAACATTTTCTGAGGATTATTTAACTTTTCATACTAACTCTCAGATGTGTACCAATTTCAAATTATATTCTTATCATATTTTCAAAACAAGCAAGTAGTAACAATTCTATGCTGTGATAGACAATATTTTCTTCAAATCTGTCATTTGGAGATGAAAAATCTGGTATTCTCCAAAAACTTTATCAAGGTTACTTTCTCTATTAACCTTTTCTCTAATTCTTTATCAGACATAATCTCTTCTAAGCTTCTAGGACCTGTCAACTCTTAGTGAAGACTATCTTGCCCCAGTGGCTTGCATTTTTAAAAAACAGTGAACATTATTTACTCTGCCATCTCAAGAAACTGTAATAAAACTTATGACATGAAATGCATCCTTTACTCCCCACACAATCATGGCTTTTCACATGGCTGGTGCTCATAAAATATTTGTTGAATTCAAAAGATCATTTTATTCCAGAGATATTTCATTCCACTTATTTCCTATATTAACAGTAAGTTTTAGAAATTTGGGTTTTTTCTCTTTTTCGAAGAATGTGAGAACTG